TTCATTCGTTATGGATTTTATCCTCAAATCACTTACAACTGGCACCAAATCTTAGCAGCAGTTTTATGACTGCCTCTATATCCCAGCAATAATAAAAAAATACTTTCTGAGATATGAGTTGCTTTTGCTGACGTGTTCAATTATTAATAAATTATTAGAGTGTCTTATGTGTATTATTTCAACAAAAATGTTCATAAAGATATGAAGACAGTGACTCAGATGGTATGATTTACATTCCAAAATTGCTGTAAAACCTTGAACTACTTTTCCTAAAGTTTGAAATGATTGACGTTAAGTGATATAGGTAAAAGTTTAAAGGTGATAAATAAAATGTATTTGGATAACTGTTGCAAATTAGTTTTTTTTACTTGAACGACCCTCATCATACGTATAATGTAAACACTTTTAAATCCAAATCATGTTATAAAATAGCAAGATAACACTACAGTTAAGTGCTCACATTATACATTTCTATATGAGGTCATGTAAATATAATGCTTTGTTTTGGTTACAACATTCTTAAGAAACGGTTTTTTATAAAGTTACTTAACATTAAAAATCAATCACGATAAGGGCTCAAGCTGACCCAAACTGAAAGGCGTTGCAACGCCTTTTACTCAAATTGGGCGCAATACTACAATTTTTAATTTATTTCCGATTATATTTCCTTACTATCTTTTGCATATCTTTCTGTTTAGAGTGTCCCAATTAATCTATGTAAGTTTTACAATATTTGGAAATATCACTAAATAAATGTTCAAATTCAAACTTAATTTAAAAGGAAAATGCCGCTTGATTGCCTTCCTGCATAAGTGTATCAGTTAATGCGTACAAAAATGCTTTTAATACAAATATGTATCGGTGATTGAACGTTCGGTTCTAAAAAGACCTACTTGCGTTGAACGAATATTTAGAAAGAATACCGGATATGAATGCAAAATTGCTAGTTAGATATTTTTTAAACATATCTTATCATGACAGCTGACGTCAATCTTTTTTTCCGAAAAAGCAACTGTCAGCAATTGGGAGACGTACCCTTAGACAGTAAATAAGGTTAAAATGGTTTTGTAAATCATATTCCAAGTTTGATGTATTTATATTCTGTGGTATTTCTTAAGCAAAACATCATTTATTTTGCTGAAAGAAAGGATTTCTGATTTTTTCTTTGTCTTCAAAAGCAAACTAATTTTAAAATTTTATGTGTTTGCATTGAAATTCTATTACAACGCAATGACATGGACTATTTGCTAAACTTCAATTTTTCTTTTTTTTTTCTTGATCAATATTTCATTTAAAAATCTGAAAATTAAGATTATAAAAAAATTGTTAAACACAAATTGTACATGTGAGAGTTTTAGTTTCCCATTTCCATATTATTTCGTTTTTCCGTTATTATGTCAGTGTTAAAACCTGCATGACTTTACATACAGTATTTCATGTTTTCAGGATTTATATTTTAATATTATTTGAGGAACACACACAACTAAACATATCACCAAAACACTATTCTAACGTCATTTTGATTTTTAAATCAAGTCCAATATAAAAAAGATAAATTAAAATTTACCGAATTATAAATAATATCGTTCATAAACGACATCAGACAAGAAAACATCTCTTCAAGATAACAAATATTTATTCAAGTTATTCATTAAAATAACATTCAATGTTGTTTCAATTTATATTTAACAGAGTAGTTATCGTCAAACTATTTCAAGTTGCACCGAAACAGCAGATTTAAACCTGCATTTTAAAATTTCTGCGATACTTATATTTTGTTTAGACTCTGCGATATGTATTGTTATACATTGTATATATAAAAAAAACTGCATTTGTAGTTATTTCATCTATTCTTTATTTACTATCATTATTCCTTTTCCGTATTTTCATCTTTATAAAGATGATTCAATATGATCATTTTCAAATAATTGTTTTATTAGTAAATCTAAACTTTTTTACGTCTAGCTTAATGTGTTTTGTTTAAGATCTTGTATGTCTAGATCTACATTTGATGCAGTCAATCAATCAATAATCAATCAATCACTCTTCTGAAAAACTTAAGTTTTTTACTGTCCTATTTTTGATAATAGAGCCTGTCCAAAATCACCAGAACATTTTACTGGAATGTCATAAAATTTTCGAAATGTACTTTCTTTAGACCAACCCGCAGTTCTTAAGATAGTGTCAATTGGGATATGACCCTTTATTGTACTGCAAGCAGTTGATCTCACACTGTGGGCTCTGAATACGGTAATGTCTATCCCAGCATATTTAAAAATATTTTATTACTTCATACATTGTTTATTGTCATATTGTAATTTCATTATAAAAATAATTTTATTATGTTGTATTACTATAATGGACACATATGTACTGGATCTAGAGTAGAACTTAATAGATTACATATACAAAACAATTACATTCCCTTTGTGTTTACAAGATTTGATATCAAGTGTAGACATGGACTCTAAAACCTCATATAATTCTGATTGGCCAATGGGCACAACAGAATTGAAAGATTAAACAAGACTTACCTGTTGAAGTTTGATCTTAATTCTGTTGTGTCATTGGCCAGGAATTATATGCCCACCCGAACTCTGTTTCCACCCTAACATTAGTATTTCCATGACTACACTTTCCACTTTGAAGTCTGAGGCTGATAAGCGTCTGGCGGCCACGTGTTACCTCATATAATTCCTAGCCAATGGCACAACAGAATTAAGATCAAACTTCAACAGGTAAGTCTTGTTTAATCTTTCAATTCTATAAGCCAACGCTAATTTTAAAATTTGAATGCGTTGTAATTTGTTGGATACTTGTAACAAAATAAAAATATCTCTTTCTTTTAAATCGCTAGTTTTAAGATATTTTGAGAACTACTTGTTGTTAGGTTTGTCATTAACCGCTGTGTCAGAGATTGTATGTCAGCTTTGTATTTCCTGATCTTCGATCTTCGAAAATACAAAAAACATGAAGCACACAACTGTTCTACCCGCAATCAACGGATCTGCTTGCAACCAAATAATGTGGGTGTGTATATAATTTAAGTCAATATTTACAAAATAAAACGTTGCAATGGTTTAAAATTACAACATCATAAACATAGCAAAAAAATTTTTTATGTTTTTCTTCGGACAAGACATGAATTAATCATCTAGTTCCATATAAATGCAGGAGTCTGTGGTGAAATTTTATCTGTTTTTAATGACATTTTATTTAGTAGTTTTATCATCAAACTGAACAGAACAGAACATACTCTTTATTTGGAAGACACAGATAACAAAATGTTAAATTCTGCAATAACGAGTGCAAATTACAGATTATAAGCAGTGACAAGGTCCCATACATAACTGGGAAAAGAACATACAACAAACAAAGAAATTATACGAAATATTGTTATGACTAATTCTAAGCCGATCTAACATTCAGAAATAGTGTTTCAATTTCCATTCTTTGTACGAATTGTATTTTTTTTATTTTATCAATGCGATTCGATTGAAATAAAAGTTGTCGCTGGATGGACAAAGAAAATTTACAGTGACTATGTAATTAAGATTGTTAGGTTTAGTGTTAAAGAAAAACGGAAATTAAAGTTGAAGAAAAATAATAATAATAATAATAATAATAGTAATAATAATAATAAAAAATAAAATAATAATAATAATAATAATAAATAATGCGTAGTATTAAATTGACGATTTCAATAGTCATTTTAGCATTTTTAAACATAAAGCACAATATCATGGTGCATGAAACGTATTTAACTGATGAATTTAGAATTTTAGTAAACATGCGAATCATTTTCAATGTATAAATGGAGATTTTAGTGATCAGTGATTAGTGGAATAAAAAAAGAAATTCCAGAAATACTTGAAATTAAGTGCATTGACAGATGAGGGGAGATAGTCTCACTTGACATATATAGTTGCGTTTTGTTCCCTTTAATTTAAGAAGATAGGTAATGAAAGCTTAACTATTTCTGTAAGTCAATTGAATGTTTTTTACCATGTATTTAATAGAAAATACTTCAGATTGGTGTGAACTGGTGGCCTCCGCCTACTCTATATTATTGACCTGGACTCGACCAGAGCACGATCTTGGGCAGAGAAGATCCAATAAGGTCTTCCTGTGATGAGAAGCACCATAGGCCGTGTCAGGTGCACACCCGACCCTCGACTTCCCAGTGGAGGTCGGAAGTCAGGAGTAAAGAGTGAAATAGAAGAGATGAGAAAGAACTGATTGATCTAAAGGAACAAACCATTGGTAATGAGATATAAAATCTCGATTCAAAATAAAACAAGCTCTCTACATTATTTTGCACAGCTCGGAAGATTGAGGAATCTAAAATGTAGATTTTGTTGATAGATTTCAACTAAATTTTCTTGAATTATTTAAGATTTCAAACAGAGTATACCAAATTGTACGTTTTATATAAATATCTGGTATATATTCCTCTTAAAATTAACACGTTTCAAAGGTAATGTATCACATTATGGGTAAAAAAGGATATAGTAGGTAATATTTTGTATGGAACTTCCTTATTGCTCTCTCAAAAATGCACATACCATGGATGTACTTAAATTTTTTATGTTCATGGCAATCTAAATAATGTGGATGTTGGTTAGAACAGATAGCGTCACAGTGCACAAGAACAGTGAGTACATACCGAAGAAGAAAATGGCTAACATAAGGTACTTAGGTTGAAGGCTACAGTTCGATACAATGGTGTTTCCTGATCGCTTTCATTATATTCGAGTAAGACAGTGCATGGAACAGTAGACATGCAAGTACATCAAAAGAATGTTTCTCTAATTACATATTTGTTTAGCTCTTGCAACACTTCGCTCTCTGACTGCATAATTATAATGTTTACTAAATCTATCTTCTATATCTTGAAATTTTTTATATTATTGAAATATCTTTAACACAAAAAAAAACAAAACAAAAAACAAAAAAAAAACAAACAACAACAACTTACTCGATTTAGATCAGAACTTCCATACGACTAATCAAGCGCGCTCATTTGTTTACACTTTTTTAGGGTGTGACATTTTAGAGTATTTTGCCTTTAAAATGATACGGGTTTCAATTCCAAGTTATCAAAAAGTGGAAGGAAATGGTGATAGTTATACAGTTGAGTATTGATAAATCTTTTTGAGTACATGCAAGTGGAAAAAGTTTAAATTGGTATTGTCATGTGTTTACGCGAGTCATTTTGCAAAATATTTCCTGATCAAATTGATTCAAAAATTAATGATTTAGGTGATTTATGTTTGAATTGTAAAGATGCAAGTCAAATTATCAATACTAAGCCCTTAGTTGAGTATGAGTGAATAAGATAAAATGAAATTATGTCAAGCAGATTTATCAAATTTAGAATGTTTTTTTTTACAGTATGCTGTCAGTATTAAAGGTAAACTAGATATAATATCTATTTATTGTCGGAGTCATACTACTAACAACGGTCATAATGAATGTTTAGCTTTTGATGAACATTATGTCAATGTTATCAAGCTTATGTTACAGGGAAATTGGTTAAAATTAATATGAATAAGGCAAAACTTCAAAGCGAGCTCTTTATGTAATGGATACAGTACGAGTTTTTCTTCAAAAGTGTCTTCTTACAGACGTAAGAAGACAGTTTGCTAGGATAAACAACATATTGTCCGAGGCAAAGATAAATTGTTGTTTGTCCTAGCAAACTCTTCTTCACGTCTGTAAGAAGACACTTTTGAAGAAAATACGAGTAACTGTATCTGACTTATATGACGTTTAAGTGTAAAGAACAGATAAATTAATAAACACATTTAATTATAAATAGATCTAATTGAATTTAAATGTGTGTTCACAATTGAAAATATAAAACTATAAAAAACTGAATTTACTCATGAGTTGCGCTGTCAAGTTCGCTACAACTTTCTGTAGGTTTCTATGGTGTCCTGTTTGAGGCAGTTAAAATATCACCTGTTACGATTTAAGATTGACTAAATTTCTTGTTTACGCTCGACTATTCGAAAAAAAGGGAGAGCTATTGTAATTGTGAATTTTGACAGAACTTATTATGACCCCTTTAAACTAAGAAAATATCATTATATCTACATTATTCAGGCTCTTGACTGAGAATAGTCGAGCACTGATTCTTGTTAATAGATAAATAGCGTGATTTAACATTTTTTTTCAAAGAACTTATACTATATATACTTGTACTATAAATAAGTTACACGTGAGACAGACATGAGGTTAATCGTTGCGAAGACTTTTATATTTTGATTCGCACTAGAGGATTAAAGTATGAGAAAGTATGAGCATGAGACAAATTCAACATTGAATTGCGCGAAAAGTTTCTTGAGATAATGTAAAATCTTGCTTCTATATCTATAAAACACCGTATATTTCAACTCGCTGTATTAAATCCACGTGGAAAGTAACTGTTATTTAAAAGTGTCTTCTTACAGACGTAAGAAGACACTTTTTAAATAGCTCTGCTGGGGATATAGTTGTATAAAGAGTGAAATAAGGCAAAACTATGAACTGGAAAGTGGGTTAAAATACTTATTCATATCTATTTTACATTTTCGGTTTTAAAAGTGCTGTTCGTTTTTTTATGGACTGCTTCTGTTATTCTGGTTCCCTGTCTTAATTTGGTTCACATAGAAGTGCGCAGGAGATCTGTCTACAGTCTACACATCCATTTTCAATCAGAATTCCTCAGCTTTTATACTAATGTTGTAAGTCGAAAAGTTGCGATTGCCCATAATAGACCATAACCTATAATTTTGTATTACTTCCGGCGAAAGTGTTAAAAAATCATCACTATCTAGCAGGTATTCGCATTACAGTAAAGCTCGCTTTGCAGGCCAGGTCTTCGAGTTCACTATAAACAAACTGAAAATTGCAAGGATGGTAAACTTATTATGTCTCCCCCGCCTCGGGGGGAGACATATTGTTTTTGCCCCGTCCGTCAGTCCGTCCGTCCGTCAGTCCGTCCGTCCATTCTTCGTTTCCGGACGATAACTAGAGTTCCTTTTGACCTACAGCTCTCAAACTTCATAGGATGAATGGTCTTATTGAGCAGATGATCCCTATTGTTTTTGGGGTCAGTAGTTCAAAGGTCAAGGTCACAGTGACCGTTGGTCAATTTCTCGTTTCCGGATGATAACTAGAGTTCCTTTTGACCTACAGCCCTCAAACTTCATAGGATGATTGGTCTTATAGAGCTGATGATCCCTATTGTTTTTGGGGTCAGTAGGTCAAAGGTCAAGGTCACACTGACCGTTGGTCAATTTCTCGTTTCCGGATGATAACTAGAGTTCCTTTTGACCTACAGCCCTCAAACTGGGGGAGACATATTGTTTTTTGCCCTGTCCATCTGTCAGTCCGTCCGTCAGTCCGTCCGTCCATTCTTCGTTTCCGGACGATAACTAGAGTTCCTTTTGACCTAAAGCTCTCAAACTTCATAGGATGAATGGTCTTATTTGAGCAGATGATCCCTATTGTTTTTGGGGTCAGTAGTTCAAAAGGTCAAGGTCACAGTGACCGTTGGTCAATTTCTCGTTTCCGGATGATAACTAGAGTTCCTTTTGACCTACAGCCCTCAAACTTCATAGGATGATTGGTCTTATAGAGCTGATGATCCCTATTGTTTTTGGGGTCAGTAGGTCAAGGTCACACTGACCGTTGGTCAATTTCTCGTTTCCGGATGATAACTAGAGTTCCTTTTGACCTACAGCCTCAAACTTCATAGGATGATTGGTCTTATAGAGCTGATGATCCTATTGTTTTTGGGGTCAGTAGGTCAAAGGTCAAGGTCACACTGACCGTTGGTCAATTTCTCGTTTCCGGATGATAACTAGAGTTCCTTTAGACCTACAGACCTCAAACTTCATAGGATGATTGGTCTTATTAAGCAGATGATCCCTATTGTTTTTGGGGTCAGTAGTTCAAAGGTCAAGGTCACAGTTACCGTTGGTCAATTTCTCGTTTTCCGGATGATAACTAGAGTTCCTTTTGACCTACAGCCCTCAAACTTCATAGGATGATTGGTCTTTATAGAGCAGATGATCCCTATTGTTTTTGGGGTCAGTAGGTCAAAGGTCAAGGTCACAGTGACCGTTGGTCAATTTCTCATTTCCGGATGATAACTAGAGTTCCTTTTGACCTACAACCCTCAAACTGGGGGAGACATATTGTTTTTGCCCTGTCCATCTGTCAGTCCGTCCGTCAGTCCGTCCGTCCATTCTTCGTTTCCGGACGATAACTAGAGTTCCTTTTGACCTAAAGCTCTCAAACTTCATAGGATGAATGGTCTTATTGAGCAGATGATCCCTATTGTTTTTGGGGTCAGTAGTTCAAAGGTCATGGTCACAGTGACCGTTGGTCAATTTCTCGTTTCCGGATGATAACTAGAGTTCCTTTTGACCTACAGCCCTCAAACTTCATAGGATGATTGGTCTTATAGAGCTGATGATCCCTATTGTTTTTGGGGTCAGTAGTCAAAGGTCAAGGTCACACTGACCGTTGGTCAATTTCTCGTTTCCGGATGATAACTAGAGTTACTTTAGACCTACAGACCTCAAACTTCATAGGATGATTGGTCTTATTGAGCAGATGATCCCTATTGTTTTTGGGGTCAGTAGTTCAAAGGTCAAGGTCACAGTGACCGTTGGTCAATTTCTCGTTTCCGGATGATAACTAGAGTTCCTTTTGACCTACAGCCCTCAAACTTCATAGGATGATTGGTCTTATAGAGCAGATGATCCCTATTGTTTTTGGGGTCAGTAGGTCAAAGGTCAAGGTCACAGTGACCGTTGGTCAATTTCTCATTTCCGGATGATAACTAGAGTTCCTTTTGACCTACAACCCTCAAACTTCATAGGATGATTGGTCTTATTATCAAATGATCCCTATTGTTTTAATGGTCAGTAGGTCAAAGGTCAAGGTCACGCGACCGTTGGTCAATTTTTCTCGTTTCCGGATGATAACTAGAGTTCCTTTTGACCTACAACCCCTCAAACTTCATAGGAGGATGATTGGTCTTATAGAGCTGATGATCCCTATTGTTTTTGGGGTCAGTAGGTCAAGGTCACAGTGACCGTTGGTCAATTTCTCGTTTCCGGAAGATAACTAGAGTTCCTTTAGACCTACAACCCTCAAACTTCATAGGATGATTGGTCTTATTGAGCAGATGATCCCTCTTGTTTATGGGGTCAGTAGGTCAAAGGTTAAGGTCACAGTGACCATTGGTCATTTTCTCATTTCCGGATGATAACTAGAGTTCTTATCAGTGAGGACATTTAACTATTATTGATATATCAGTGATATATCAGTTGTCTGGTTTTATATACTCTGTTCTTTTATCTCCATTTCCATTCCTGTTTCCATTCACAGTTATTCTCAGCAGTGGGGGAGACATGCGCTTTTTTACAAAAGCATCCTCTAGTTGTATTAGCTCACCTGAGCAATGCTCAGGGTGAGCTATTGTGATCGCCCTGTGTCCGTCGTCGTGCGTCGTGCGTCGTCAACTTTTCACATAAACAACATCTCCTCTGAAACCAATGACTGCACATCAACCAAACTTTGCAGAAATGATCCTGGGTGCGTCCCCTTTCAAAGTTGTTCAAATGGTTCCGGTCTGTTGCATATGTAGGTCACAGGGCCAGAAAAGGATTTCAAAAAACACAAAATTAAAAAAATCTTCTTGTCTGAAAGTACATGGGCCAGAGCTTTGATTTTTGGTATATGGTATCATCTATGGGTCCTCTACCAAAGTTGTTCAAATTTGTCCCTAGTGTCAAAATTTGCCCCGCCCCGGGGGGTCATAGGTTTTTCCTTATATGTCTATAGGTAAATCTAAAAAAATCTTCTTCTCTGATTTGGCAAAGGCTACAGATTAGATATTTGGCATGAAACATTGTGTAGTAGACCTCTATCAAGATTGTTCAAATAATGGCCCTAGGGTCAAAATTGGCCCCGCCCTGGGGGGTCATTGATTTTCATTACATACATATAGTGAAAACTTGAAAAATCTTCTGGTCTGAAAGTAAATGGCCTAGAGCTTTGATTTTTGGTATATGGTATCATCTATGGGTCCTCTACCAAAAAGTTGTTCAAATTTTGTCCCTAGTGTCAAAAAT